GCATAAACCTTTATTTATCGGTGATGCAACAATGTTCCTATAAAAGATCATGGAAATATTTTCAGTTCTCTTTTCAAGGGGGATTGAGATGGTTTGCTTATTTATGTATTACATTTATATCCCATCTTTCGGTGTACACAGTGTTCTCATATTTTCCCCACCACCACAACCCTGGAAGGTGGGTTGAGTCAAGAGAGAGCGACCTGCCCAAGGACACCTGGGCAGGTTCCATGTCTAAGGGAGGCCTAGAACTCATGGTCTCCTGGTTTCTAGTCCAGCAACTTAACCACTACACCAAACTAGCATTATGCTTAATTCAAATGTTAAGCCAAGCAGAGGCTTAATGTGCCAATTTTCACTCTTTTAAAATAGTGTTATTGAAAATGGGTGCTTTGCCACCAATGTCAGTGATATGATTTGGGGAGACTTCAGGATTTGCAAAACAGAAGTTGACAATGGGGGAAATACATACAGCCCAGAACAGCAACCAGATTAAAAGTATTAATGCTGAATGCTATTACTAACACTTAAATGTTTTGTTTGGATCAAAACATATTGCACATAGTAAAGGATCTGGGAATTTGATATTTGTATGAGTAGTTGCTTCTTTACTATTTACAGTATTCTGCGATTGGTATGCCTACTATTCAGCATAATTGTCAGGGTGATTTAGCAAATCAAAGTAGAGATAATTACACCAAAAATGCACTAAACAGTGAATACTAGCTCAGTGCTGTTCTCACTGATGTTCTTTTGACATCAATGATGTCAAAAAGCCTTGGATAATAGAAAGATCTTCATCTAATTATTTGAATCAACCTTCTTCTCCAAGTTTTGGCAATTCCCTTCTCTTGGACCATTTTTATTATAACCTAGACTTGATGCCCTCCAGATGTGTTGGCAGTTGTGGTTCCAGCATATTTGGAGAACACCAGGTCTCAGTTATAACAAATATGCTGCCAAGGAAGAGAATTGCCTTAGGTTGGAGCACCAACTATTTCATCTCATTTTGATAAGCTATCTTCATTTAGCTCAGCATTTGAAGAAAGACATGTTAGAGAAATGTCCTTCAAGTAATCCGAGATTAAACCACTAAGAAAGAAAGAAGAATGAGCCATAGACATTATTTTTTTCTTGGCAAATGGAAGAGAACAATTCTTGTGGAATGCCAATGATAAAAAAGTAATGTTTATGGTTCACTATTCTTTCTTTAGGGCCAATTTCTGCTATTTGGATGTTCCCCTTTTCTCATGTTTTTTTAAATAGGTTCAAAGTAGCCTATAGATAGTTTGTAAAATAAATCCTAACTAACCCATCCCACACAGCTGCCTACTGTACAAATGTTAATTTCAGAACTGTCTTTGGAAAAAGACCAAGTTAGGATGCATTGCAGTTACTTAGTTTTAAAGTCAATTATGTGTGAACAGTAGATTCTCAGAATCCAAATAAGGAATCAGTAAGTGAACCAGTTAAACTGGCAAAAGATTTAATCACAGGGGGCTTTTTTTGCATCTAATAATTTATACCTCTAATGATGTTCAAGAAGCATCAACAATTGTATTCCTTCAGAGAATGCAGCCCTGACTAGAAGAGAGAAAGCTGAACTATTCTAGATTTACAAGCTACTTCTTAAAGCTGTAGCATCTTTTATGCATTGAGTTGGTTTATCAGTCCTCATCCAGTCCATTTGTGGGATCAGACAAGAATTCAGAGCTTCTAACTTTTCATATCAGTATGATTGACATGAGAGACAAATTTGAGTGATATCAGTGTATGGTTGATTCTAAACTTTAAACTGCCCCTCCCCCAAAATCACCTGGCAGATTTATATAGATATTGATAACATTCAGGATAAGATTGAACTTTGTAGCAGTCCCCAATGTAAGCATTATGGAATTGAAGAGACATTCCCATACACAATCTTCTGTTATTAATCAGCCATAGGAGAAGAATTAAAATATGATGTTTCCTCAAGTCCAGAGTCAGGAAACCTACCACAAGGCTAGCACAGCTGACCGCCACTGAGAACTTTAGCAGAAACAGAAAATTATTTCAGAACAAATTGAACTCCTACAATGGCAGCTGTCCCTGATAACAGTAAAAGGAATGAAGGTAAAAATGAATTATGCAAAACAAAAGAATTTTGAATTTGCAAATAAGCCAAGGAAATGGTTGGCATACAAACTGAGGAAAGAAAAAGAGAAAAAAAATGGTATTAAAAATACAAGATGGAAACACCATAATAACGGATAATTTAAAGATGCAAAAAATATTTATTCTCAATTATATAAAGGAGAAGAAGTTTCCCTGACAAAGGTTGATGAATAATTAAAGAAATAAAATTTACTGAAGATCACAGAAGAACAGAAACAATTAATGAATGGACCTATAACAATAAGGGAAGTTTGTAAAGCTATGAAAAAGGCAAAAATAGGGAAAGCGCCTAGACCAGATGGTTTACTAGTTTCTTATTATAAACATTTTGAAGATGAATGATTACAACCATTGCAGAAAATGATGAATTCAATTTTACACACTGGAAAGATACCAGACAGTTGGATAGAGCCTAATATAGCATTAATACCTAAAGAAGGTCAAGACTTGACTTCACCAAAAAAATTACTGCCCAATATCATTACTGAATAATGACTATTTGTCATTAAGTTATTTATGATTATTTTAGCAGAGAGGATGAAAATGGTTGTACAGGACTTTATTCATAAAGATCAATGTGGGTTTGTACCCAAAAGACAGTTAAGAGATAATATCAGAAACATACTGGACATTTTGGAATACCTAGAACAGCATAACGAAAAACAAGCTGCACTGATCTTTCTAGATGCATAAAAAGCCTTTGACAATTTGAACTGGACTTTCTTGTTTAAACTTTTGGAAGATATAGGCTTTGGTGAGAATTTTATTAAATGGGTAAGATCGATTTATAGTTCACGAAAGGCACAAATAACTGTAAATGGAGAATTAACAAAATCTTGTGAGATACAGAAAGGGACAAGCCCCTGTCATCATTTTTTTAGCTTTGGAAGTATTGAATAGAGACATAAGACAAGATGAGAGAATTGCTGGGGTGAGGATTAAAAGGGAAACATAAATTACAGGCATTTGCTAAAGGTTTGGTGATAAGCTTGGAAGATCCTTTGGAAGGATTAGAAATATTAATGGAAAAACTAAAGGATTTGGGGGTATTAGCTGGCTTTAAAATTAATAACCAAAAGATGAAGATGTTAATAAAGAATATGGAAATGGAAAATCAAATGAAACTGATGGGAAAAAACTGCTTTTAAAATTGAGAAAAAAGTAAAATACTTGGGTATTACTATGACTAATATGAATTGTATGTTATTTCAGAATAATTATTTTATGTTAAGACATGGAATATATTAAGATGGGAGAAACTATTGTCATTGTTGAGGAGAATCTCTGTGATAAAAGTGAATGTATTGCCTAGAATGATGTTTTTGTTTCAAACAATATCTATTTTGATTTTGTATTAGTTTTTATATATACAAACTTTAATAAAAATATTATATAAAAAACAATACCTATTTTGACAACCAATGAACCATTTAAGCAATGTCAGAAAGATATATTTACATTTGTATGGCCAGGGAAAAAGCCAAGGGTTAACTACAAAGTCCTCCAAGATGCAAAGGAACAAGGAGGATTAGGATTGCCTGATTTGAAGTTGTATTTTGCAGCCTGCTGTTTGGTTTGGATGAAAGAGTGGCTGCTGCTGAGAAATAAAAGAATTTTAGAATTAGAAATACACAACCTGAAGTTTGGATGGCATGACTTTCTATGGTATGATAAAGTTAAGGTTAATGTAGCTTTTAAAAATCACTATATTAGAAGTGCCATTTTTAGAATATGGAAAAGATATAAACCCAGATTGTGCCTGAAAATGCCTTTATGGGTCTCTGCACAAGAAGCATTTTATAAGAAAGGAACACCAGGCAAAGAGAGATGGTTAACCTATCAAGAGTTGTTACAACAAGAAGATGGAGAACATAAGATGAAACAAAGACAGCAACTGACTACAGAGGGATTTAGTTTTCAATGGTTTTCATACACACAGATAAGAGAAAGAATTAAGGTAGATAGTAGGATATCTGAAACTGAGCAGCAGAAGATAGATGTTGAAGTTGAATTATGTACAATGATAAACATGTAACTGCTATTAACACCACCCAAAGAGACAATTAAAAGACAAAACTCTTGGCTAGCATTAAAAATCCAGAAGATTCCCCTCTCCATTCTTCTTCTTCTTTTTTTATTGACTGGAATAGATGCTGCTATGGGTAGAGCCACAGATGAAGTCTGAAAAGTAACTACAGTTTCAGAAAAGTGGAAACTGATTTTCCCTTGGATGGCCTTCCTTCTGAAGGAAGGATTCTGGATTTTCTTTTTCTCATGAAGCAATATAGCTTTTTGAAAAATTAAAGTAATAAATTTTCTTTTTATCAGGAATCTAAAACTATAGTTTCTTGTGACTGGAGCTGAGGATTCAGCACCTAATACCATACAACAAAAAAGATCAACCCGGACTACATCTCATAAACAGTATCAAAGAGATTTGGGGAGTTAAAGCAGAAAATATAATCTTATCCACTGGGCAATAAAGATGGCAATTGCAGTAAATAAGTGACATTCAATCATACTTTCAAATTTCAGCTAAGTATACAGTTGGCCATAACTGAATAAAAATAATTGCTTCTTTTACAGAGCTCAGTTTTCATGCAGTGGGTCCTGAGTTTAAACCCTGGGCACTTTGAATATCTTGCAACTTCTGATTAAAAGGATTAGGGGATGTAGAAATGTTGCCAGCCAAGCCTTTAGTGACTTGTGGCCATTCAAAGTAAATGACCCAAACCTTGATTACGGCTAGCATATTTGGACTGCAAACCTCTGATCCACCACTAGATGCTTATAAAGAGTTAGCATTCTGGATTTTTGCAGCTCAGATCTGCTTGTCCTGGCTTTGATAGACTCAACCGTAGCTTCCTAAGTTGTATTTTTTTTCTGAATATTCTAAATATTTCTCCAGAACTGCATTCCAGCCCTTTGCGGGATATGAGGCCAATTGATAATCTAACTCTGAATACTTTTGGAAACTTGAGAACAAGCTGTTTGTGTTCCCAGAGATTATGAGTTAGGGTTAACATTCCATAGTGTTGCTCAAAGCTTATCTTGTGAAAGAAAAGACAAAGCATCTGGGCACAGAATCAGTTTTCAGATAGATGGACTGACAAGTGATCTGCCTAGTTCTGAACTGCCGTCTTGTCCCTAAGAAAGGTTTTGCCTTTCCTAGTTGCTTCTAACCATGAAGGTAAGAGAGTCATCGAGTCAATTTCTACAAATCTATCAAGGGCGGATTTTATTTCTTAAGCAGAAAAGCATAATATGGGGTCAGAACTCCAGAAAGACGGAGTGAGGTGGGATGAGAGAGAATGGACAGCAAGAACTGGAATATGTATCTTTTTGTTAAGCCACTCACATTGTTAGCAGAGCATTTTCAGCAGAGCTTTTCTTCATTCACACGGTGGAAAATCAGATAAAAAAAATAGTTCCAATGTACATACCTTTAGTCATTTCTGCTTCCTTTTCCCTCTTTTTAGGTTTTAACCATTTTGATTCTGTTAGAAATTACAAGCTGCTTTCCTGCTTTTTCCAGGTAAGTGGAATTTGTATTAAAAATAAATCTGAATGTGTCTTAATGAGCAAAGATGGGACCTACAATAAGATGCTTCAACCCTCAGAGGTGTGCTGCTATTCTCAGCTTCAAGCTAGCCATACCTTTTTCCAGAATGCTCCATTTCATGTCACCAGGGTTTTTTTTTTCCTCCACCACCCTCTCCCCACCCCAACTCAAGGAAATGTACATAGTTTTCTCATTTTATCTTCAGAACAAGACTGTGAGCTGGGTTCAGCTGAAAGATGGTGCTTGGTTCCAAAGTTTTCCAGTAAACTTCATAATGAATTTGGACCTGGGAAGCCACTGTCCTCCAGCACTTAAAAGACCACACTATACTGGCTCCTGATGGGAACTGAGTCCATGAACTAAATACTTATGGTTGGCTCCATTAACTGTGCCTTTTCACAGTTAGAAGAGAGATTTTTCTCACTATTCAAGAACAGGAGAAGCTAGATTGTTCAGTTACAGGATTGGTTGAGGATTTGTGAGATCCTTTTTTTTCTTTCTTTTTGGATTGCCATTTTATTTTATTTTAGCTGGGGAATGAGGGAACAACTTGCATGTTAAAAGTGTGGGAATTTTTCCAAAGTAGCTACTCTGTCTATAATTCCCATGTTAAAATGTTGAATACTTGTGGGGAATCTAAAGGATACAAAATGCTTTAACAGTTCTTTCTCACTTATTTGCATAATGTTATGAAATTATTAAGAATGCTGTTTCCCATGTGGTTTCTGGTGTTAAAAAATTGGCTACAATTTTTTGCACTAGAGCAGCATATCCAGAAGTATTCAGATGTACTGGGGCTGCAACTCTCAGAACTCCCTGCCACCATAATTTCTGGCATGATGGTAAGAATTCTGAGTTGTACTTCCAATACAACTGAAGGACACCAAGTTGGGGAAAACAGCTTCAGAGACCAAGGGCCAAAATAGATAAATACGAGCGAGCTGTGTTTGGAGATCTGAATGCTTCCACACAAGGCTTTAATTATCCACTCCCACTCACAAAATTTTATGGAGGTGCAATCATTGTCCAATTCTGCTTGCAACCTTACTATATTTTCCCACTATTCTTTCCTTATAGTAAGAAATCCGTTAAGCAATGTACAAATAAAGTAATAATGATGAAGAGAAAGAATTGAAAGCTTCAGAAGGCTTTGGATGCATATCGTTAGGAGCTATTTAGAGGCATTTTCCAATTTGGAGTAGCAGTGCTCTACGAACAGGATGATTAGCCTTTCACAGCCATCCAGTTTCCCAAGTCAAAACCCACCCTCTGCCCAAACATTGTGCATTTAATGTGAAAAATATAAATCAGGATATCTGATCATGGAATACCTGTACTAATCTGCTTTGTTCTTAATTCAGTGAGGCTTACTTATGAAGTAGCATGTTCTGACCCTAATGTTGGAATTTGTCTTCTGGTTGCAGCAACAATTAGCCTCTCCATGCCTCTGTCTGATATAGTACTTTGGCTCCTAGGGTTGTTCAGTGCTTCAGATTCAATTCCAAAGAGATTCTTTGCAAAATGCAAGCATAACTTCTGGCTGCAACTCTTGAAAGCAGCTGCATCCTTCCTGGCAGCTGCTGCCCATTCCTGAGGGGGAAAATATGTTTATTTTAAAAAGCTGCAGAAAGAGATGCCTGCTTCAAGCCATTTCTTTGGAACTGAATTACTATTAGCTTCAGTAGTAATTTATTTTAATAGCTAAATAACTAGAAAAAAGAAAACAAACTATTTCCACAAAATACAAAATAGTATGTATAAAAACTATAAAAAGGAAAGAAACTAAAAGAGAAAAAGAAAATAAGCACACACATAAGTAAAAGTCTACACGTATTAAATAATATGGAATAATATTAAGAATAATCCCCTGGACCTAAAATATGAATCACCAGCAATACTAACATAATCTAACATTTTAAAATATGATCTTTTGGGGGTGTTTTACTGCCTTTTTTTGTAAAGTGTTGGGAATCCCTGACATATTCAGTTGTATACAAATTTAATATGAAATAAAGTAAACAAGGGAAAAAGAGGAAATAAATACAGATTATTTAGTCTGTGACCGTAAATAAAGCTATCAGCTGAGTAAATGGAAATATTATTTTTTAAACTTACAAAGAAAAAGAAATATATATGACTATGGATGTATATGTATGTGAGTGTGTATGTATGTATTTTATACACACACACACACACACACACTCATATGTTTTCATGTGGGACAGAAAAAAATGTCCAGATACAGAAAAAATGTTTCATCCCCTTTAGTTTAATGCCTCATTATACCATTTATATTTCTAAACAATTTGAGGGGGCAAATCAGAAAAAATGATTATCTTTTTGTGTTTCCAATTCAAAGACTCAAACTGTTTAGGCCACAGCAAGATGTTAAAATAGCTAATGATTTTATTAGCTGAACCACTACCAGACTAAGTCTCTATGGAAATGAGAGCGGAAGCCTAAATGATAGACATTTTCTATCTCCAAATTTCATTCTGTCTGTAAAAATACATCTTGACTTTTTCCACTTATTGTCCCAAACTCTGATCCAGCACTGCATTATGGGGAATATTCAGAAAATGAAGATTATTCCTATACAAATAACCCTGTAAATAGGACGGTTCA